TGTAGGAGAGAGATTTATGAGATAGATCTAGTCACATTATATAATTATGTCACATAAATTTCAAGTACCAATGGCTAATCTGCCAGTTGGTCTTGTTGCACGGTTTGCTGCAGGACGGCTTCCTTCGACAACTCGACTAATTGTCTAAAATAAACTGATTTCGACGAGTGAACATGATAAACGCTCTTGCTCACTGAACACTAATAAGTTACATCCTTCACCGATATAATCAATGCTTACATCTTAAAGTTCCTCTTCTATACGGTCTGCATAAGATATAAAGTAAAAATGCCCTTCTGCATCATCATTTCTATACTGATGAGTTTTCGAACACAAGGAGCACGTGCTATTGGACATCACCTTATGAAAGCAGAAAAAATATCTGTTTGAATTCCAATTTGTAGCACTACCTCGATATTAAGACGGAGCGCATCCGTTATAGCAAAACAATCAACCTGTTACATCTCTATCCAAGAACATGTTATGGAAATAGAACACGAACTGCTGCTTATAATAATAAATAATGTACAAATTATGCTTACAAGAGAAAAAGGTCAAGAGGTCAAAAAAAGCTTCTAAAACATAGGTCACCTTCTTAAAACGAGAGCACGCGAAATCAGCTCCCGCTCTTTTGTCCGCCATTGAGCTGAAGACTTCTTCAGGTAATCCTCTTCAGTCCAATCACTCTGCCATCGGAAGAAAAGTCTTTCCCAAACATGCTAAACTTTAATAAAAATAGATACAATCTTGCCCTACCCCGATGAAAGCTCTTAGCAGCGAAGACAGTAAGCTCAAAAGTATAACGGCTGCTGCGGATGTTAGAAGCATCATACAGTTTCAACATACGAGTCACATTCATCACATCAAAGAGCTTGGTAAATTTTTGATATAAAGAAAAATATTTTAGTCCAATTACTAGCGTGGACCACATGATAGTGAATGGTCTACACTAAAACAAGGAAAAAAATCCTGAAGCTTGGCTTTCAATAACTTACAATGCTCTGTGGTGCAACAGATGGCCATATTACAGACTCCCTGGGCTCGTACAAAACGTTTACAAAGGATCGCAGTATTTCGGGGTTGTTAACATACGACCATAAAGAGACGGTTGACTTCTTCACACCGAGTTCTGCCTTCATCTGCAAACGAGATAATATGATGGGAGAAAAGTCTAAGAAGCTTATTATCAAAAACTAGCCATTTCATTGTTGCCTAAGAAAGAGCCAAACTCGCTGGCATAAGCGTGTTCAAACAGAAAGATAAGAAAATCCTCTCCAAACTCGAAAGAATGAGGAAACTGGGCAATAATCTGTAAGTGCATAAATAAGTTGATCTCCTCATCAGTAAAGCTTAAGTTAAA